ATTTTGTGTCCAGTGTGCTTGAGAGCATGTTCAGCTATATATAAATACCCGCAACAGGATCACATCATCCTGGGCACAGAGAGAACTGCTCCTGTCTGTGCTCCTGCTGAAGATGCCGGTCACAGATGCTGGCGAAACGTTAGGAAACAAAACTTCCAGAACACGGCCACACAGCCCGGAAGACCCACACCAGCCATTGTATTCCGGCCGTGAAAGCCTTCGACAAGACATTTTTACTATTTGACATTATTTTTCAGCATAACATCTAGTGCAGCATTGCTTTAATGTGGTGGTATTTTATATTGAAGTTTATGCTTTTGTAAAAATATACATATTTTGTATTTTTAATAATTAAAAATACAACTAAAAGTTATAAAAAGCACTCCATTTCAATTGCTAATTTTAACTTTGTAAAATATTGCCTGTTTCTTGAAGGATGGCAAACTTAGAACTGATGATCACATCTTGGAAATTGGAGGTATTAATGTACAAGGAATGAGTAGCGAGCAGGTCGCTCAAGTGTTGAGAAACTGTGGAAACCATGTTAAGATGGTAGTTGCAAGATCTCCTTTGTGTGAAATAACTACAACCCCGCCAACTCCTGCGGCTGATCCTGTGGGTGAATTACTTACTATTCAGGACAGAGAATCTGACACAGTAAGTATCTTAATGCTAGCATCAGATTACACCACTGGAATTTTCATTTAGTCTGAAAAATTATAATGCTAATTTCTTCCTAAATAGATCTTAATACTTACTAAGTCTAATAATAGTTATAATCATTGTCTACATAATGTTATCATCATTGAGTTTAACGCCTTTTGCCTTTGTAGGACAAACAATACTACTATAAGTTTACTATATCACCACAATCAACCCACTTCACTTTTAATGTCTTCTCCTTGACCAACCATGTCATCTTTAGCTACAGCATCCAAGTTATGGAATGCCTTTCCCTGAAAAGGTCACAAAGTATCAGTGATTTAGATAATATCAATTTTAGCTCAGATTTACAGAGCTGACAGCTGTGTTTTCTAGCTCATCTTACCTTTTGTTTGTCAGTTTATATATTTGTATGTAAATTGTCCTGAAGTACACATTGCTGAAGGACTATATAAAAAAATATTTCAAATAAAATTTTCTGCTGGCAGGAATGGTTGAAACATTTTCATTTGATCAGCTTATAATTGTTATTGCTATATAATTTGTTCGTTATATTTATTTTTCTTGATATTTTTAATTTTTAATCTGTCTTAATGTTTAGAGTTATCAGAAAAAACAATAAAATCAGATATAAAAATAAATCCAGACAGTGACAATGAAAATATTTAATTAATATTGAAATTTCAGCAGCAGATTCAAAAAAGATAGATTCTTTTTTTTTCTGTTTCAGAAGTCCAAAGTAGGTTCAATAATGTTCAGACGTTCAGAAAGTAATATGTGGAGGGTGCCATGGGCACTAAATGTCTTCTTCCTAGCTTAACACGTTTGTTTAGTTATTTTTGGTTCCCATGGGGTTACAACTACACAGAGTTGATTTTTTTTTAGGTGTCATGAACATATATCCAATTCTTAGTTTATTCCAAAAGAAGAGAATATATGTAGCTCTGGATTGAACTGTGGAGTTCTTGGGGCTCTCTGAGCTTAGTTCTTTGCTTGAAGACATTTCATTACCCAACTAGGTAACATCTTCAGTGCGGGTGCATGTGGGGTTTGCTGCCTGTTTGTATATAGTAGCTTCCCTGCCACTTTTGGTAGGGATATGGTTTCCTCTTTGGTGTTTCCTTGATTATATTGTTTTCTGGCTGATTGTTTGTCTGGTGTTGATTCCTGCTTATCTGAGTGTTGGCTGCTGGAGGGGATGTGTTCTAGCTTTTTTGTTTCCTTCCTAGGGTTTTTATCATCTCTTTTCAAATGGTATGGAAATATAGTTTATCTCTATGTGTCCATTGATGGCTGATTTGTCTTCTTTTTTTTCAGTATTCATATTTTTGCTGCTAGGGAAGGGAAGAATTCTTGTGGGATTTTCTGTGTCAGCTGTCAAAATAACAATCATCTTTGTTCTCTTAGCCACCAAATGGAGGCTATTGAATTGGAACATATATAACTACTTAAAATGTGCTATCACTCTGTCCTAAACTGGTAGAACTGCATGACCTGAAAAGGCATGTTTTGCTTATTCTAAATATTGTTTCATGTCATCAAACTCATATCCCATTCTTGTGTATTGATCCGGTTAATTCATAACGTTACCTAGATCCCTGATTAACAGTTCAGTGTTATCTTAGATATATTATATTTTATCAATATAAAGTGTTTACCACCTCAATCTCATCATTTGCATATCTGAACATGCAAGGATTCTTCTTTGGCAACCAGTATCAAGCTCTAGAAGGAAATACAAAAATGAACATTTAGAATAGTTTTCCATATCAACACACCTTGAGGGCACCAGATTGAAGAAGACTTCTTAAGCACAATATATTTGAACACCAAAAACACTGACATTGTGAAAACAATACACACCTGTTGTCTTTGGATCTTTGAACTGAAAAAGGCTTTAATTAGGTAATGAATTACAAAAGTTCTTGGTAAAAGGTGAAGTGCTTAATATATAATCTGAAAGAAAGGTATGGTTTTATTTCCTAGGAAAATGAAATTCATGAAGTTAAGTTGACTAAAAAGGATGGACAGAGTCTTGGTATAACAATTGTTGGATATTCTGGAGTTTCTGATTCAGGTGAGTTGTGTAGTATTGATCAGTGAAGGAAGAGGCTAGATCAGAGAATTTGTTGAACATGTGTTTGAGGTAGACAACAACATTGTCAAATAATGGGGGGAGAGAGGGTTCTTTGCTCTTTCTCTGTGAAGTATTACTTAGCCCCAGAGGCTTTAAGTAACATAGAAAGATTAGTCTCCATCAAAATTTTCAGCAGCCATCAAATGTTTGCCCTCTATGGGCTAAAGGAAGGCTAAGAGTTACTGTATTCAAGCCTAAATGGGAAAAAAAGGACATTTATGAAAAAGCTGAAATCAACTATGAAAATGCTAACGAATATCAAGAAACATGGAAGTCTCAGACATTCAGAATAAAAAAATAAGAAATCTTCCCAAAATAGGAACAGTTGGGGGGAAAATAAGTGTAAATAATCAGGATAAACATATAATTAATATAAAAAATACATACAGTATAAGAGCTCCAAGTACAGCAGAAAAATGGATCCTAATATAGAATCTTACAATACCATAACAGATTGAGGAATTGAAACAGATAAACATTCATAGAACTTGAATAGTAAATTAAACACCTGACCAGTGATCACTATACATAAACTAAATTAAAACTTTTTTTTTCAATGTATCAAAGATGTATTCTATAAATTGGGCTGCACTTCATTTTTAATATTTTGAAGGGAGGCTCTAAAGACCACCCATTGGTATGGCAGTGATATAGTGATGCCCAAAGGGTAGGCTTTACAAATGAAATTGGGATAATTGTTTCACTCAAAAGAGATACTAGAAGCTTACAATAAATTTTTTGGAACTTCCTTCATTTTTAAATAAAACTGGCTCTTGAGATGGGTGATCCATAGCAGAATTTTGGTGATGAGATTCTTGGGAGGCCACAGGTCACATATACTCACCTAAGAGTAAGGCCCCCTGCACTCACTGCCCATTCTGAGTGGAGCAGTATAAGAATTCACTGAACACTGATGCTCTAAAATGTGTGTGAAACTATAATATTCAATATATGCTAATTCTATGTGTACATTTTCCCTCCCTCTCCCTCTCCCCTCCCCCTCATTCTCCTCCTTTAAGGGGAAGCTTCAGGGATTTTCATAAAAAGCATAATACCTGGCAGTGCTGCAGATCACAGCGGTCATATAAAAGTCAAGGACAAAATTATTGCAGTAAGTTGAATCTTACAAAGGCATTTGTTCTTACATTGTAAAGCATTACTGCTGTAGGTTTTCTGTTGGTTGAGATGCCCTTCATGTGCAATTGGGAATGAATCCCATGATGTAAATCTTTTTTGATAACAAGAAGCAGGCAGTCATTCCAGCTGTGTGGGTCAACTGGGGCCATGCCATGAAGGGTACTTTAGAGCAACTAGTTTGGAAGAATATGGTATTTTTGAGGAGAAAGAGGATTTTTGTTGTTGTTGTTGTTTAGTCGTTAAGTCGTGTCCGACTCTTCGTGACCCCATGAACCATATTGCGCCAGGCCTTCCTGTCCTTCACTGCCTCCCTGAGTTTGCTCAGTTTCATGC